ACCATTCTGTGATGTTGGTAGTGTTAGGTGTGTGGTAGTGAACTCTGGAGCACCATTCTGTGTTGTTGGTAGTGTTAGGTGTGTGGTAGTGAACTCTGGAGCACCATTCTGTGTTGTTGGTAGTGTTAGGTGTGTGGTGTCCAGTGAACTCTGGAGCACCATTCTGTGTTGTTGGTAGTGTTAGGTGTGTGTTAGTGAACTCTGGAGCACCATTCTGTGTTGTTGGTAGTGTTAGGTGTGTGGTAGTGAACTCTGGAGCACCATTCTGTGATGTTGGTAGTGTTAGGTGTGAGTTAGTGTCCAGTGAACTCTGGAGCACCATTCTGTGTTGTTGGTAGTGTTAGGTGTGTGTTAGTGTCCAGTGAACTCTGGAGCACCATTCTGTGTTGTTGGTAGTGTTAGGTGTGTGGTAGTGAACTCTGGAGCACCATTCTGTGTTGTTGGTAGTGTTAGGTGTGTGGTAGTGAACTCTGGAGCACCATTCTGTGTTGTTGGTAGTGTTAGGTGTGTGGTAGTGAACTCTGGAGCACCATTCTGTGTTGTTGGTAGTGTTAGGTGTGTGGTAGTGTCCAGTGAACTCTGGAGCACCATTCTGTGTTGTTGGTAGTGTTAGGTGTGAGGTAGTGAACTCTGGAGCACCATTCTGTGTTGTTGTAGTGTTAGTGTTAGTGTGTGAGTTGTTGGTGAAGTCTGGAGCACCATTCTGTGATGTTGGTAGTGTTAGGTGTGTGGTAGTGTCCAGTGAACTCTGGAGCACCATTCTGTGTTGTTGGTAGTGTTAGGTGTGTGGTAGTGTCCAGTGAACTCTGGAGCACCATTCTGTGTTGTTGGTAGTGTTAGGTGTGAGTTAGTGAACTCTGGAGCACCATTCTGTGTTGTTGGTAGTGTTAGGTGTGTGGTAGTGTCCAGTGAACTCTGGAGCACCATTCTGTGTTGTTGGTAGTGTTAGGTGTGTGGTAGTGTCCAGTGAACTCTGGAGCACCATTCTGTGTTGTTGGTAGTGTTAGGTGTGAGTTAGTGAACTCTGGAGCACCATTCTGTGTTGTTGGTAGTGTTAGGTGTGTGGTAGTGTCCAGTGAACTCTGGAGCACCATTCTGTGTTGTTGGTAGTGTTAGGTGTGAGTTAGTGAACTCTGGAGCACCATTCTGTGTTGTTGGTAGTGTTAGGTGTGTGGTAGTGAACTCTGGAGCACCATTCTGTGTTGTTGGTAGTGTTAGGTGTGTGTTAGTGAACTCTGGAGCACCATTCTGTGTTGTTGGTAGTGTTAGGTGTGTGGTAGTGAACTCTGGAGCACCATTCTGTGTTGTTGGTAGTGTTAGGTGTGTGGTAGTGTCCAGTGACCTTTTGAGCACCATTCTGTGTTGTTTGTAGTGTTAGGTGTGAGTTAGTGAACTCTGGAGCACCATTCTGTGTTGTTGGTAGTGTTAGGTGTGAGGTAGTGTCCAGTGACCTCTTGAGCACCATTCTGTGTTGTTTGTAGTGTTAGGTGTGAGTTAGTGAACTCTGGAGCACCATTCTGTGTTGTTGGTAGTGTTAGGTGTGAGGTAGTGTCCAGTGACCTCTTGGGCACCATTCTGTGTTGTTTGTAGTGTTAGGTGTGAGTTAGTGAACTCTGGAGCACCATTCTGTGTTGTTGGTAGTGTTAGGTGTGAGGTAGTGAACTCTGGAGCACCATTCTGTGTTGTTTGTAGTGTTAGGTGAGTGGTAGTGAACTCTGGAGCACCATTCTGTGTTGTTGGTAGTGTTAGGTGTGTGGTAGTGAACTCTGGAGCACCATTCTGTGTTGTTGGTAGTGTTAGGTGTGTGGTAGTGAACTCTGGAGCACCATTCTGTGTTGTTGGTAGTGTTAGGTGTGAGGTAGTGAACTCTGGAGCACCATTCTGTGTTGTTTGTAGTGTTAGGTGGGTGGCAGTGAACTCTGGAGCACCATTCTGTGTTGTTGGTAGTGTTAAGTGTGTGGTAGACGTGTTCGGGCGTTTCGGTTTCCTTGCAGTGTTTTTATTTTATGTGGGTGGGAATTTAATTTTGCGTGACCTGTTTGTAATTTGTTTATCGCCCTGTCAATAGTTTATGGTAGGTTTAAAAATAAGGAGACGTTTATACAGTTGATCGGGCTTCTTGAAGGAGTGCATCATAAACGGATGGAATGAAGTATCCTTGATTTCGGTTGATTGTGGGCTTTTAGCGTTTGATGTGAAGGGCTTACTTGAAGGTAACCTTTTGTTTGGTGAAATCCGCTTGAATGTTAGCAAGAATGGTGATGTCAGACGACTCTATTTGGTGATTGGGGTTTGCTTTGCTGTCGGAATTGGTAAAGCAAGTTTGATGTTCTTCCACTCGGGTGTTGATTGGTCGGGGGGATGTTTTGCCGTAGAACTAAGTTAACGTTAAGATTAGTAATTGATGTGGCAAAACACGTAGAATAGCAGGCTCAGATAGGTTTCAACTTCATATCTCTGTATTTATTTTTATTTCAAACTACGTTCGGCGAGGTTTGATTTCGTCCCTGTTTTGAGAGTAGCCGGTTATGAAAATTGCGGATACCAGAAAATCTATGTCGGCCCAACCTTTCGCTCCAAGTTTTAGGAACATTTTAGATTCTCTGCTTATCAACACTGACAAAACAAAACTGTCCAAAAATGATTTAGATATGCATCACGTCAAATGTCAACTAGGTCGAAGTGCAAACGCTGATACAGTTAAGTTTAGTCTCGCGCGGCTCCATACTTTCGTTGTTCAGCAATTCGTCCCTCAAACTAATGTGTCATACTTCCTATCGTTGTTCAGCAATTCGTCCCTCAAACTAATGTGTCATACTTCCTATCGTTGTTCAGCAATTCGTCCCTCAAACTAATGTGTCATACTTCCTGATCGTTGTTCAGCAATTCGTCCCTCAAACTAATGTCATGCTTCCTATCGTTGTTCAGCAATTCGTCCCTCAAACTAATGTGTCATGCTTCCTATCGTTGTTCAGCAATTCGTCCCTCAAACTAATGTGTCATGCTTCCTATCGTTGTTCAGCAATACGTCCCTCAAACTAATGTCATGCTTTCTATCGCTGTTCAGGAAAGTGAAAAGTCAGCCAGAATGAGAAATACTCCGATTTTGAACTGTGAAAGTAATCTACTGGTGAATAAACATTCCATCTCACATTAAAACAATGTGCAAATTTATAAAAAAAATGATTCATAAATTAAAAAAATAAAAAAATAGAGCATACTGTAGCTTGCAGTTATCTCAAGATTCAGATATCGTACTCCTAGCTAAGTAAGATTACTTTATCAAATCACATGTGACATTACATGTATCACAGTAAAAACGTCCAAGGAATATATGTCAAAATGGCCAACACGGTAAAACTCAAAATTTTAAATCAGTAATATGGTGGAAGACCAAATGTTTCATTGTTTCAAAGACTTATGATGGAGCATATCCTAAATGTTGTCAACAACCTGACAATATTTCTATTTCTCAGTGAACACACTTCACTGGTTTCCCGATGGTCTCGATCCTCTAGCTGGGATATGTGCAGTGCACAGTCGTTTCCTGAAGGTCTGGGTCCTCTAGCTGGGATATGTGCGGTTTGCAGTCGTTTCCTGAAGGTCTGGATCCTCTAGCTGGGATATGTGCGGTTTGCAGTCGTTTCCTGAAGGTCTGGATCCTCTAGCTGGGATATGTGCAGTGCACAGTCGTTTCCTGATGGTCTGGATCCTAAAGCTGGGGTATGTGCGGTTTGCGGTCGATTCCTGAAGGTCTGGGTCCTCTAGCTGGGATATGTGCAGTTTGCGGTCGTTTCCTGAAGGTCTGGGTCCTCTAGCTGGGATATGTGCGGTTTGCGGTCGTTTCCTGATGGTCTGGATCCTCTAGCTGGGGTATGTGCTGTTTGCGGTCGTTTCCTGAAGGTCTGGGTCCTCTAGCTGGGATATGTGCGGTTTGCGGTCGTTTCCTGAAGGTCTGGGTCCTCTAGCTGGGATGTGTGCTGTTTCGCGGTCGTTTCCTGAAGGTCTGGATCCTCTAGCTGGGATATGTGCGGTTTGCGGTTTCCTGAAGGTCTGGATCCTCTAGCTGGGATATGTGCGGTTTTGCGGTCGCTTTCCTGAAGGTCTGGGTCCTCTAGCTGGGATCCGGTTTGCGGTAAGGTCTGGATCCTCTAGCTGGGATACGGCAGTTTCGCGGTCGTTTCCTGAAGGTCTGGATCCTCTAGCTGGGATATGTGCGGTTTGCGGTCGTTTCCTGAAGGTCTGGATCCTCTAGCTGGGATATGTGCGGTTTGTGGTCGTTTCCTGAAGGTCTGGATCCTCTAGCTGGGATATGTGCGGTTTGCGGTCGTTTCCTGAAGGTCTGGGTCCTCTAGCTGGGATATGTGCAGTTTCGCGGTCGTTTCCTGAAGGTCTGGATCCTCTAGCTGGGATATGTGCGGTTTTCCTTCCTGATGGTCTGGATCCTCTAGCTGGGGTATGTATGCGGTTTCGCGGTCGTTTCCTGAAGGTCTGGGTCCTCTAGCTGGGATGTGTGCGGTTTGCAGTCGTTTCCTGAAGGTCTGGGTCCTCTAGCTGGGATATGTGCGGTTTGCGGTCGTTTCCTGAAGGTCTGGATCCTCTAGCTGGGATATGTGCAGTGCACAGTCGTTTCCTGATGGTCTGGATCCTCTAGCTGGGATATGTGCGGTTTGCGGTCGTTTCCTGATAGTCTGGATCCTCTAGCTGGGATATGTGCTGTTTGCGGTCGTTTCCTGAAGGTCTGGATCCTCTAGCTGGGATGTGTGTGGTTTGCGGTCGTTTCCTGATGGTCTGGATCCTTTAACTGGGAGAAATGCAGTGCGCAGTCGATTCCTGATGGTCTGGGTACTTTAGCTGAAAGAAATGCGGTGCGCAGTCGATTCCTGATGGAATCTAACACTTTGAATAGATTTCCCATTGTTTGGATGATTGAAACAATATATCCAACGTTAAATGATGTAAGGTGTGTCACTGAAAAAACAACAACAAACAAACAGGACTTCAAAGCTTATTTTGTTTAATATCTTCTCGGAAACAAACGTTATCATTGACCAAGTTGAAAAACAAGTCCAGTGACAGCACCTGCACCAGGGTCTGGTATCATTGTTGTAAACTTTAACACAACTATTGGATAAATACTCTTGCATTTCTAGCCACCAGCTCAGTGTATATTTCTTTTTCATGTAACAAACCAGGCCAAAAGAGCATGGCTGTATATTTGGGCATCAGAAACTATTGTGTTCTTTAGCCCCACATTCACACAAGAATACTTGAATACTGCTTGTTATAAGCAGAAATGTCATTCAGATTGTACACACAAAACTGATGTACACTTGGCAAAAGGCAGGATGACACCTACATCTTCACTTCACACATTACCACTCAAGGAGAACCTCATGATGTACATGTTCCCATGGCAACTAGTCATCTGTTACAAATACAGGACAAACTTCCATATGTTACCATGGCAACTAGTGTACGTGTTACCATGGCTGTCAAAGCACAAGGCAGGCCAATTCCAATGGTCAGGTTTCCATGACAAGGTGGTCATGTTGGTGGCACCAAATTGCCCTGGCTGTGTAGTGCAAGGTTAGTTTTATAGCACTCCAGGCTACAGAGTGCTACACCAGTCTTGGAACATGAATACTTCTTGTGATTGCTGCAGCCTCTCACACCGCACTTGGTTGTCTTCTGGATTCTGTGGAAAACAAGCATGACTATCATAACACAGACCAAACTGTCAACATCAGTAACACAGACCAATCTGTCACCACCATTGACACACAGACCAACCAGTCACCATCAGTGACACAGACCAATCTGTCACCATCAGTGACACAGACCAATCTGTCACCATCAGTGACACAGACCAATCTGTCAACATCATTGACACACTGACCAATCTGTCAACATCAGTGACATACAGACCAACCTGTCAACATCACTGACATACAGACCAACCTGTCAACATCACTGACATACAGACCAACCTGTCAACATCACTGACATACAGACCAATATGTCAACATCAGTGACATACAGACCAATCTGTCAACATCACTGACATACAGACCAACCTGTCAACATCACTGACATACAGACCAATCTGTCAACATCACTGACATACAGACCAACCTGTCAACATCACTGACATACAGACCAATATGTCAACATCACTGACATACAGACCAACCTGTCAACATCACTGACATACAGACCAACCTGTCAACATCACTGACATACAGACCAACCTGTCAACATCACTGACATACAGACCAATCTGTCAACATCAGTGACATACAGACCAACCTGTCAACATCACTGACATACAGACCAATATGTCAACATCACTGACATACAGACCAACCTGTCAACATCACTGACATACAGACCAATCTGTCAACATCACTGACATACAGACCAATATGTCAACATCACTGACATACAGACCAACCTGTCAACATCACTGACATACAGACCAACCTGTCAACATCACTGACATACAGACCAATCTGTCAACATCACTGACATACAGACCAACCTGTCAACATCACTGACATACAGACCAATCTGTCAACATCACTTTGACATACAGACCAACCTGTCAACATCACTGACATACAGACCAATATATGTCAACATCACTGACATACAGACCAACCTGTCAACATCACTGACATACAGACCAACCTGTCAACATCACTGACATACAGACCAACCTGTCAACATCACTGACATACAGACCAATCTGTCAACATCACTGACATACAGACCAACCTGTCAACATCACTGACATACAGACCAATATGTCAACATCACTGACATACAGACCAACCTGTCAACATCACTGACATACAGACCAATCTGTCAACATCACTGACATACAGACCAACCTGTCAACATCACTGACATACAGACCAATCTATCAATGTCAGTAACATTTCCCAACTAACAGGTTCTTTCCATCACGGTTTCCCAACTAACAGGTACCTTTCAATCAGGGTTTCCCAAACAGGTAACAGGTTCCATTTCCTGCACTAACTAACAGGTTCTACACTATCAGGGTTTCCCATCGGGGTTTCCCAACTAACAGTTCTACATTATCTAACAGGGTTTCCCAATTAACAGGTTCTACACTATCAGGGTTTCCAACTAACAGGTTCTACAATAACAGGGTTTCTACTACACTATATCAGGGTTTCCCAACTAACAGGTTTCAATCAGGGGTTTTCCCAAACTAACAGGTTTCCCAACTAACAGGTTCCCAACTAACAGGTTCTACACATTTTCCCATCAGGTTCTACACTATCAGGGTTTCCCAACTAACAGTTCTACATTATCTGGGTTTCCCAATTAACAGGTTCTACACTATCAGGGTTTTCCAACTAACAGGTACCTTTCAATCAGGGTTTCCCAACTAACAGGTTCTTTCCATCACGGTTTCCCAACTAACAGGTTCTACACTATCGGGGTTTCCCAACTAACAGGTTCTACACTATTGGGGTTTCCCAACTAACAGGTTCTACACTATCAGGGTTTCCCAACTAACAGGTTCTACACTATCGGGGTTTCCCAACTAACAGGTTCTACACTATCAGGGTTTCCCAACTAACAGGTTCTACACTATCAGGGTTTCCCAACTAACAGGTTCTACACTATCAGGGTTTCCCAACTAACAGGTTCTACATAGAACAAGTTTTATGGATAACAACTTCTTTATTTCGTGAGTGCGACGTTTCGATACAGATTCTTGTACCGTTGTCAAGCAAGAGTGATACATGAAGTGTAGGAGCTGCATATATATACTGTATATAACAATGAAACAACATAATAGACAAAGGAAACAACATAATTGCCATGATTGGCTAAGCAGTAAGCTGAAGAAGCCAGTGAGTACACAAAGGATAGTGAATGGAAGCCAGAGATGTAGTTACAATGAGATGTGTGAACAATAGATGCGATGTTTATACAATAGATTGGGCTTGGTGGAGGAGTGGATCATAAGCTGATGGAATGAAGTATCCTTGGTCGCGGTTGATGGTGGGCTTGTGGCGTTTGATGTGAATGGCTTCTGTGAGCTTGCGTTTAGTGAAGTCCGTTTGGTTGTTGGCGAGAATGGTGATGTCGGACCACTCTATTTGATGATTGGGGTTAGCTTTGATGTGGTCAGAGATAGCTGACTTGGTGTCGGAATTAGCAACAGAGGTGCGATGTTCTTTGACTTGGGTGTTGATGGGTCGGGATGTTTCACCTATGTAGCATTGTCCACAATCACATTTTATTTTGTAAATAACACATTTCGGGTTGTTGTTGTTGACGGTGGGTTGTTTTCTTCCGTTGGCATGGAGGAGGTTGTTATATACAGTATATATATGCAGCTCCTACACTTCATGTATCACTCATGCTTGACAACGGTACAAGAATCTGTATCGAAACGTCGCACTCACGAAATAAAGAAGTTGTTATCCATAAAACTTGTTCTATATTGTACGTCTCAACTTCTAAAATGCCACTCAAACAAGTTAACAGGTTCTACACTATCAGGGTTTCCCAACTAACAGGTTCTACACTATCGGGGTTTCCCAACTAACAGGTTCTACACTATCAGGGTTTCCCAACTAACAGGTTCTACACTATCAGGGTTTCCCAACTAACAGGTTCCTTCGTTCCATCATGGTTTCCCACTAAAAAGGACTCCTTGCTTGCTACTTACTCCTGTGCAGCTTGTTTTGGGAAGGGAAAGTTGTAGCCGACAGGAACGGAGATGGTGATGCTCTCACTGGTGCTTGAGTAGTGGTAGCGTGGTATGTTGGCACGCTTTGAGCCACGACCCTGTAACAGATGGCACAATTTGGCCATCAATTCACACTACTAATATCCGGAATTCTAACATTTATCCATTATGACATCGTTCAGAATACAAAATGTCATTTTCATGATAAAATTTATATTTTATACTTATCCTGAATCGCACATTATTGCTTACCTCCCTTTACGTCCAAGGAATAGTGGAAACTTGTGTCCTATTGTTCCCTAATGAACAGTCTAAAAATGATTCACCCCAACTATCCTGACACATGTTACTGCTTGAATCCGATGGATAGGTGGTGGGTCAGCCACATATTTGGATTCTGAACACTGCTTGATCCACCCGCTGTGAACTCCCATCCAAAACATTTTGGATGCTGCGTGCTTAGATGAGGGACCACCTTCTCTTAAATACATAAGTAAATCATAAGATTTAGTGGATTTAAAGATTCGCAAAGAATTAGAATCCCGCTTATCTTTGGTTCGATCCATATGATAAGAATAGGTGATACTCCCAACTGTATCATATCACTCATGTGCTGCTTTATCTCGTAAAACAGGGGAACAGAAGAGGGGAACATGGGAACAGAACAGGGGAACATGGGAACAGAACAGGGGAACAGAGAGCTGTCGGTGGTTAAGGAACAGTAACTTGATGTCTTTGAATCTACATGATGAAGGGTGAGTACCTATCATCTGGCTGGGACTGTCAACTGCTGTGCCACAAATAACGGGCCGAACTGATGGACACCGGAAACATCTTCTTTGGCAACGTCCCTCAGGTAATGGTTCGCGAAGACAGAGCCTGATCTCCAGAAGCATCCTTCCATGATGGACGAGATGGAGCAGTTACCATGCAGGGCTAACATGGACGGTTGGAGGCTCCAGGTGGATCCAATCCTGCTGCTTTGTATGCCCTCAGTATTACTGCTCTCAGCTAGAAGGAGATTGTCGTTCTGGAGACTTCAGTAGCTGCAGCAGGTGATAATGGGATGAAGAGTCTCTAGAATCTTCTTCTCCTCATAGTTGGTCTCTGCAGGTAGATTCTCAGTGCTCTTACTGTCCTGTGTGTTGTCTGATCTGAGGATGGATGATAACGCTGGGATGTGGACTTGTCTATCTGGTTGTCCTGGTAACTGGTTCTTCACAATGAAGTGCCATCTAAGCTTGAGATGAACTGCTGGAACCTAGTTGGACTGTAGTCTATCCTGGCAGCTGTAGCAAGTGTGAGGAGGAACAATGTCTTCTGAATTAACAACTCAAAGTCTGCTTGGTGTAATGGCTCATAGTCGTCACTGGTTAGGTGTTGAAGGACTATGTTAAAGTACCATGCTTCAAGTCTGAAGGATCTCAACACTGTGACTAGTTCTGGAACCTTGCTGAGTTTCACTCCTGACTTCATAGTGTGAACTGAGCTGATGGCCACTAATTAAAAAACCTTTCAGATGTCTGGTAGCTCTCATATGACACAAGTATTCCGCCACTTGATGTTCTGCACTGCAAACTGGTCAAAGCTGTTCCACTTGTCTTCGTAGAGATTCCTGGTAAGGCGTCAGAGAGCTAAAGTGACGGCCTTGGCTGCTTCTGATAGAGTACCCTCTTCTTGTGAGAGTTCGTAATACGTTCCATAAGTGTAACTGGAAGCTCTTGGGGCTTTCATGCACCTGTCTTGTGTGTGGATGAACCAGTAGATTTGGCCAGTTCAGAAGTTGTGCACGTGGCTCTCCTGATGAGGTCTGGGAACAACGTTTGTGCCGGCCAGTAGGGCGCCACCAAAGTCAGTTGTAGGTCCTTTGTCTGCGTGATCTTCCTTATGACTCGTGGCAGTAAGACTAGAGGCGGGAATGCGTAGGTATGGAGACCTTCCCAAGATATGGCAAAGACATCTACGGAAGGTGAAGTTCCAGGCAAGTGCATCTGGGACCGGTGACACCAAGGTCTTTATCTGCTTGTTGAACCTCCTCGCGAAGAGATTAACCTGTGGGCAGCCCTGTTCTTTCACTAGTAGTTGAAAGGCCTCCATTTTGTTGAAAATGGTTTGCTGGGTTTAGACAACTTGTCTGCAACAATGTTGACCACACCGGGGATGCGTCTGGCTTTCATTCCCATGTCAAGACTGTCTATCAATTTGTAGAAGCGGAAGGTTAGTTCTAGCAGTGGTGTCGATTTTGTTGTCCCTTGCAGGTTTATGTAGGATGTCACTGTTGCGTTGTCTGTTCGTATCATCAGGAATTAATTTCTGAGGAGTTAGGACCAGTGCTGAATGGTTCTGATGACTGCCCTGAAATCTAGCTGGTTGATGTGACGATCTTGTTCTTGTTCGGACCAAGTCCCTATCGTTACTTCCGCAATGAGGTGGGCTCCCGAGCCTTGGCGTGAGGGGTCTACGTAAAGATGTAGATTGTTGGCCGGCTCTTGCAAATAGATGCCTCCAGGCAATCTAGATACGGCTCTGGAACCTCTAGACGGCTCAGGAACCTCTGAATACGTCTCAGCTGGAGCCTGCTGCTTTGTGCAACAGCTTGCATGGATGTGAGTAGACCGGGGATCTCTTGCTAACAGCAGGAATCACAGGTACTTTCGTGGATGGACGGTAATGTGAAGGTACGCATCCTGCAGGTCTATGCTTGCCAAGTAGTCAACGGCCTTTATGAGATGTCTCAAATCTGGTAGATGTAGCATCTTAAACTTGTTGGGCTTCTGCAGGTAATGCATACAGTGTTTACACCTAGCAGTAAGACTGCAGGTCGAAGAACAGCAAGTGGAGCATGCAGGGTTTGGTTCATGTTTGGATAACCTGTATCTGAGTACACAACATGAAATGGGTCAACACCGATCTGAAAACAATCAGAAATTTTGTAAAAATTAGCATGTGATCAACCAAAATTACCCATGGGTATGATGACCAAAAGATATAGGCTACAAGTGTACACAATATATGAAAATATGCCGAAATGGAAGAGTTGTAGATGAAAAGCAGACAGTAGGCATCCACCCAACCGTCAGGTATTGCGAAAATGGAGAAAGTGACAAGCAGCCTATGGTCACGTGGGACGCTGGCACTGGAAGGGAAGAGGCCCAGTTGGGGTGACCTACTTTCAGTTTCAGACTGTTTATTCGGGAAAATAGGACAGACGTTTCCACTATATCTGGGAAGAAAAGGGAGAGAAGCAATAACGTAGAGTCAGTTTAAGGAAACATGATGTAGTTACAGGGTAGACATGTTGAGTCTGAAGCACTATGGAAACTCTGTACATATTTGAGCTTGGTGTGAATCAGTAGGTCATCCAGACAACGTTTGACATACATTAAAATACCGTAATCAAACATGGACTGGCCTACTTTAACTATACTGAACCGCAAAAGAAACGCAAGTTGATTTAGAAATGTCAATATTTCTGAATCTGTGGAACAAACAATCTTAACACTACGAAAAAACAACAGACAAGTGATTGGTGAAGAAATGAGTCGTGATCTCTGGTGAAAACAACACTCAAGTTGATTGTAAACGCATATGTTATCACTCCACCCTCACACACCAAAAATGTCACGAAAAAGTGTGTCAATCAGGGGCGAGTGTGACCACCATTGGCTGCAATGCAGGCAGCACAACGACATCTCATCGAGTAAACAAGTGTCTGAAAGAAGGCTTGGGGAATTTGATTCCATTCCCTGACCAATCTGGCTTCCAAAGCTCTAAGGTTTTGAGGTTGAGCAGCTGTCTGTATCCGTCTACCAATTTCATCCCACACATGCTCGATTGGTGCCATATCCGGGGACAGAGAGGGCCAGGGCAGTACAGCAATGTTGTTCCCTCTGAGGAAGTCCATAGAGACCGTGCAGTGTGAGGACGAGCATTGTCCTGCTGGAACGTCTGGAGCTGAGGTTGGGCCTGGAATAGCGGTACAACGTGGTGTTGAAGGACCTGGTCTCTGTAGACTACAGCAATCACACGTTGACGAAACACGTTTAAACGTGTTCTGTGGTGATAGCTGAAGCCACCCCATACCATGAGACTTCCACCTCCCCAGCGGTCAGCTTCCACAACACAACAGTTGGCGTAACTTTCATTACGTCGTCTCCATACACGTAATCGGCCATCGGCGTGGGACAAGTTGAATTTGGACTCATCAGAAAACAACACTTGTTGCCATTGTTGACGTCGCCAACGCTGGTGTTGTCGCGCCCACTGTAAACGATTTAGGCGGTGACGTTGCGTCAGAATCGGTCCGACGTAAGGACGGCGACATCTGATCCCTGTTGCCCTCAGGAACGACGAACGGTGTCTGCAGAGATGTGACGTTGTGGCCCTTGAATGGTTGCAGCTGTCTGTGTTGCTCGTTGCTGTCGGTTACGCAGATGAGTCACCCGGATGTGACGATCTTACGCTGGCGTTGTTACCCTGGGACGTCCTGAACGTGGTCTGTCTCGAACATTACCGGTTTGACGATACCTTACGGATAGTCTTGTGATTGTTGTCACGTGACATCTGAAGTGCCTGGCCACTGCAGTTGGTGTGGATCCGGTCTGCAACATTCCAACGGCGATTCCTCGTTGCTGTTCAGTTAGACGTGGCTTGTATTCTCCACGTTGTCACTGTCAATTTTGTGTTCTATGGTGTTTTTTGAATGACCTGCCTTATAAAGCTTCAAATTGGAGTGAAATGCACGCATTTTTGTGTGAAACACAAAAACTTCATGCAAAAAACACGAAAAACATGAAAATGACTGTGTTTGGGCGATATGGTCATGAATAAGCGGCAACAACAGCAAAACCATCTTCGAATGCTTGGTTCTATAATGGTATACTTTGTTGTCCTAAAAGGAATGCATTTGGAACGTATGTTTTGAAAATAGTAACTTGCGTTTCTTTTGCGGTTCAGTATATCTTTCTCTCTCTCTTCTAGAACTCTATCCTTTAAAACTCCCTCTCTTTACTGTAATTGTTGGTGGTAGTTTGAAGGAGGCCATAGCTGGGTGATACAGTGCCTACAGTCGTCAGGACCATCAACCAAAGTTAAACTCACTCACCCTGGGTCCCTTTTGCTTCGATTCTTGTTTCTTCAATAATCTGTCTAGTGTTTGTTTCTGGAACAAGAAGATTGTGAACTGATAAGACAAGATTACACATATATACAGATAAGACATATCTATTACCCATATGGGGTAAGTCCCTTGGGAGGTTACACCTTTTGGCGAACGCTGATTGGCTGATTCCAGCCAATGGAATGAAGCCACATCAGAGGCAGAACTGCTGTTTTCATTTCAGCGTTTTTTAGATCAAAAACCGATATGGGTAATAAAAACAATAACCAACACATGACAGGGAAGGACAGATTATCTTTCCCTCATTACAATAATCACTAGGAGTGGGACAACTCACCTTATCCTTCTCCCTCTTCTCATGTGCTTGCTGTCGTCTCTTCTTTGCCCGCTGTTGGCGTCTCTGAAGCTGTTCCTCTGTAAGCTGGACATTCTTGTAACCTAGTAACATTGTAACATTCTTGTAACCTAGAAACACTAACATTCTTGTAACCTAGTAACATTGTTGTAACCTAGTCACATAGTAATATTCTTGTAACATAGTCACATTGTAACATTCTTGTAACCTAGTAACATTCTTGTAACCTAGTAACATTGTAACATTCTTGTAACTAGTAACATTGTAATATTCTTGTAACCTAGTAACATTGTAACATTCTTGTAACCTAGTAACATTGTTGTAACCTAGTCACATAGTAATATTCTTGTAACATAGTCACATTGTAACATTCTTGTAACCTAGTAACATTCTTGTAACCTAGTAACATTGTAACATTCTTGTAACTAGTAACATTGTAATATTCTTGTAACCTAGTAACATTGTAACATTCTTGTAACCTAGTAACATTGTAACATTCATGTAACTAGTAACATTGTAATATTCTTGTAACCTAGTAACATTGTAACATTCTTGTAACCTAGTACATACCTAGTAACATTCTTGTAACCTAGTACATACCTTGTCACATTCTTGTAACCTAGTCACATTGTAACATTCTTGTAACATAGTCACATTGTAACATTCTTGTAACCTAGTAACATTGTTGTAACCTAGTCACATTGTAACATTCTTGTAACACAGTCACATTGTAACATTCTTGTAACCTAGTAACATTCTTGTAACCTAGTAATATTGTAACATTCTTGTAACCTAGTAACATTCTTGTAACTAGTAACATTGTAATATTCTTGTAACCTAGTACATACCTAGTCACATTCTTGTTACCTAGTACATACCTTGTCACATTCTTGTAACCTTGTCACATTGTAATATTCTTGTAACCTAGTCACATTGTAACATTCTTGTAACCTAGTCACATTGTAATATTCTTTACTGAGGAGAGATTAGTGCAGAAATGAGGAATGCGATTTTTTTCTAAGTCCAAAATGAATTATTTGGAACAGACCATGGCTGTATGCAAATTAGTGTGTGACGATATTGTATTATAAAGGACCTTTTTAAGTGACCGATTTGAAATTAGACGTAGCTTCATTATAAACGATAGCTGGCGTAAAAAATAATAACATTCATGCTGAAACTATTAAGGATGTAGCTACCATGGAGTCTCAATATCACTATAAAAAGAAACAGATAGGAGGGTTCGTCTCAAAAGCAAAACCTGGACGGGTGTCGCAGACTATCGTTGGGTTCGGGCTTGGGGATAGAGATATCAGCTAAGATACGATAATCCTTTGGGGCAATTATACTGGGGAAGTACAGGGCACGTCATAACAATTTACAAATAATATCCAATCCTGTTAATCTTCTCGGGTGGTCATGCCACCTATATATTTTGAGACATTTAATACAATGCATTTCTATGGTTATCAGGTATCAAACTCTTTTAAATATCTCAACATAAACTTTATGAAAGAAGACACTTTAGCTGTTAATCAATAGATGAGGCAAAGTCAACACACATGAAAAAGCACAAATTATCTTTGAGATGACCCTTGGACGCCTTGTAGGCAGCACATGCATTTCATGCCAAGTGAGTCCACACAGCGAGGTCTCAGTGACTGTGTGAGCAATGGTCCACACAGCGAGGTCACAGTGACAGTGTGAGCAATGGTCCACACAGCGAGGTCACAGTGACAGTGTGAGCAATGGTCCACACAGCGAGGTCACAGTGACAGTGTGAGCAATGGTCCACACAGCGAGGTCACAGTGACAATGTAAGCAATGGTCCACACAGCGAGGTCACAGTGACAGTGTGAGCAATGGTCCACACAGCGAGGTCACAGTGACAGTGTGAGCAATGGTCCACACAGCGAGGTCACAGTGACAATGTGAGCAATGGTCCACACAGCGAGGTCACAGTGACAGTGTGAGCAATGGTCCACACAGCGAGGTCACAGTGACAGTGTGAGCAATGGTCCACACAGCGAGGTCACAGTGACAGTGTGAGCAATGGTCCACACAGCGAGGTCACAGTGACAGTGTGAGCAATGGTCCACACAGCGAGGTCACAGTGACAATGTGAGCAATGGTCCACAAAGCGAGGTCACAGTGACAATGTAAGCAATGGTCCACACAGCGAGGTCAGTGACAGTGTGAGCAATGGTCCACACAGCGAGGTCACAGTGACAATGTGAGGAATGGTCCACACCGCGAGGTCACAGTAACAGTGTGAGCAATGGTCCACACAGCGAGGTCACAGTGACAGTGTGAGCAATGGTCCACACAGCGAGGTCACAGTGACAATGTGAGCAATGGTCCACACAGCGCGGTCACAGTGACAATGTGAGCAATGGTCCACACAGCGAGGTCACAGTGACAATGTGAGCAATGGTCCACACAGCGAGGTCACAGGGACAATGTGAGCAATGGTCCACACCGCGAGGTCACAGTGACAGTGTGAGCAATGGTCCACACAGCGAGGTCACAGGGACAATGTGAGCAATGGTCCACACAGCGAGGTCAAAGAGACAGTTTACCTGACGGCAGCTGCATGAGCTCCTCCTCTTGTTTGCCATGGATCAGAGCCCTCTGGAAACATGTTACAAGCATCAAGTTAGGGAACAATACAAGTACAATGTCTCTACAATTACATGAGTAAATAATACTGCACTCTTGTGTCATTAGCAGTGAAAGGAAATTATACAGAGCTCCAGATAACTGTTTGTGTCATTGAGTTATGTACTCCCTTGTCTTCATCTCAATTGGGTATCCTAATTTTCCTTTGAGTAACGAAATAAATTGTACTCACCTCACTCATTGGGTATTTTGCCATTTTCCATTAATTGAAAAAATAAAATATAGTTTAAATATTCGTGTTTGTGATTTACATTTGATCTGTAATATGTGAAACGATAAGAAAGACTGCAAGTTGTCAAGTCAATGTCCTGAAATAGAACCTCTCAATATACTTCTTCATCTATCCACCGCTACGCAAGCCACGATTTGACATTTTTGTGTGTACGCATGTAAGATCCCATTTATTGAGTATTTACAAAACTTCAAACGTACTTGTACACAATAGACTTAATAGGAATTGAGTTTTCACATAAATATTTGCATAATTAACGCAGATACGCAGCTTATCTGTACCTCTGATTATAGGTGAGGTGAGGTGAAATTGGGTTTAACGTCGTGCTTGAGAATATTTCGCTCATATGACGACGTGCATGCGTGTGTATGTGTAGGTGAGGCTGCTTGTAATAGCCCAGACTGAAGCTGGTTTTATAGTGCTAACCCACTGAGACACCATGCCGCAGTGAAGCATGAATACCCAACTCAGACACATTATACTGACTCCGAGCTGACCAGTCCTTTCTGTACCCATTAATGCCGAGCGCCAGGCAGGGACCAACAAGTACCATATTTTAACGTCTTTTAATATGACGCGGTCGGGGATCGAACCCGCGACCTTCCGGTCTCCGGGCGGGCGGACGCTCTAACCACTACACCACGGAGGTGGTTACCTCTGATTATAGCTTTGGACTTTGACAAATCTGGTCCATTTGAGTTTTACAGTTGTTTGGCTTTTACAAAATACATAGAAAATTGATGTACTGCATCCTCACCCAGAATCCCCACGAGGAGACAAGCATGGAGACAGTGTCCCACTCAGTGGGACGGTCTGTTAAAAATAGAGTCTGGACCAGACAATCCAGAGATCAACAGCATGAGCATCAATCAACTCAATTAGGATAAGATGACATGTGTCAACTCAGTCAGTGTGTCTCACCACTAGGGCTGGGACTGATACTCGGGTACTCAAATCTGGGTCGGGTACAGGTGGAATAGAGACCTATTTCAGGAATCGAGTACCCGGAAAGGGAGAGAACTCTGTAATGACATGGGCATCTAACTGTAACCAAGAACAATATGGACAACACGCGAGCTAAGTTGAGTGCTTGGGCTCATTTTGAGCTCGATGCACTCTTTGCACTAAAACGTAAAACATGAAGGTGTTTATTTCATTGTGTAACTGTGTTCATCTCTTATTAAGTTAGTTCATTAAAAGCTTTTAAGATTACATGGAATTTTGTCTTTAGTTTCTATTTCATTTCAATTTCAGGAGACACAGCCTTTACTTTTGCGTGACAGCTGAATACACTCACTATTAAAGGGATTGAAAGTGGGACTATGTGTTGGGAATATCAATTCAAACTAATGAATTAACATAATAAAATGAACGTTTATTGAAAGAGCAGATTCTTATTTCCAAATACAGTGTTCGACTGGTTATCACTGCAATAAGATTTACTTTCTGAAAGAAAGATGATTAGAAATAGAAGCACAACTCATCTAACTCACATATAATACCATTCAGTTACTATACATTTTATAGTTTAACAAATAATAATCAGCATACAGTTATTCACTTAGATACAAATTTAGGATATTGAAACAACAGGTTTTTTTTCATTTAAACGTGAAAATATAGCATTTAGATAATTTCTTTATCCCTACATTCAAACAAAAGCATTTCAATGCTTCACTTAATAATCTTCTGGAAGTATGAAAAATAAATCACTACAAATATTTCATATACGGTTGATGAATTATTCACGGCTCTGTATTAGTCTGTACTCTGTAATGAAAATAGGAAAACTGTAATGCAGCTGAGTTGAGCAAAATGACCAGTCTTCCCTGATACGAGCGAAGCATTTTGCCATGTTGTATTAACTTAACTCAATTGTATTCAGTTTGTCGGTCTGTATATCTCCGTATAGAATTCTCCCATCAGTGAACACAATCAAATCTTATTCTATGCAAGTTTACATAATGTCTGCATGTAAAACATTATAGGTACAGTTAGAATATCACATCTGAAGGTAGTTGTCTACTAGCTTAATAAACTGACTGAGTTTGGTTTTACGCCGCTTTTAGCAATATTCCAGCAATATCACGGCGGGGGACACCAGAAATGTGCTTCACTCATTGTACCCATGTGGGATTCGAACCCGGGTCTTCGGTGTGACGAGCCAACGCTTTTACCACTAGACTACCCCACCGCCCCACTAGCTCAATAAATAACTTGTCTTTTTCATTTTTGACGTACCACAGATTTACATATTTGGTATTGTGTAGTTTCTGGAGGTTATTATTAACAATGTAATTTATCTGCATGAGCAGTGAGTAATAAAGTCACAGGAACAGCAGGATATGACAGTTCTGTTTTAATGACGAATGTAAGTCATGGTGTTACTCCTTGCATTAGTTAAACAGACTCACATTAAATAGCTTAAGATCAGTTTCAATGTCTTATTGCAATCTTTTCAAGTTTTCTGTAATAATCTCTGTCAAACCACGATTGAATATTCAGAAAGTTGACCGAAGCACTGTATTTCTTACATTTCCGGAAACTCGATTCCTACCCGTCCCAACCTTACTGACCACCCGATCCCGTTAGTCACCTCTTACCACAAGCATGGGTTGCTGAAGACCAATTCTAGCCCAGATCTTAACATGTAGAGACAAGCATGGGTTGCTGAAAACCAATTCTAGCCCAGATCTTAACATGTAGAGACAAGCATGGGTTGCTGAAAACCAATTCTAGCCCAGATCTTAACATGTAGAGACAAGCATGGGTTGCTGAAAACCAATTCTAGCCCAGATCTTAACATGTAGAGACAAGCATGGGTTGCTGAAAACCAATTCTAGCCCAGATCTTAACATGTAGAGACAAGCATGGGTTGCTGAAAACCAATTCTAGCCCAGATCTTAACATGTAGAGACAAGCATGGGTTGCTGAAAACCAATTCTAGCCCAGATCTTAACATGTAGAGACAAGCATGGGTTGCTGAAAACCAATTCTAGCCCAGATCTTAACATGTAGAGACAAGCATGGGTTGCTGAAAACCAATTCTAGCCCAGATCTTAACATGTAGAGACAAGCATGGGTTGCTGAAAACCAATTCTAGCCCAGATCTTAACATGTAGAGACAAGCATGGGTTGCTGAAAACCAATTCTAGCCCAGATCTTAACATGTAGAGACAAGCATGGGTTGCTGAAAACCAATTCTAGCCCAGATCTTAACATGTAGAGACAAGCATGGGTTGCTGAAAACCAATCTTAACATGTAGAGACAAGCATGGGTTGCTGAAAACCATGCAAGCCAGATCTTAACATGTAGAGACAAGCATGGGTTGCTGAAAACCAATTCTAGCCCAGATCTTAACATGTAGAGACAAGCATGGGTTGCTGAAAACCAATTCTAGCCCAGATCTTAACATGTAGAGACAAGCATGGGTTGCTGAAAACCAATTCTAGCCCAGATCTTAACATGTAGAGACAAGCATGGGTTGCTGAAAACCAATTCTAGCCCAGATCTTAACATGTAGAGACAAGCATGGGTTGCTGAAAACCAATTCTAACCCTGACTTTCACGGGTCCCACTCAGTGAGACCATGAGGTGACCAGTATGGAATACTTGGCACCTCGACTTACACAGAACCACAAGAATCTCACCTGTCTTGCTGTGAGGAGTTTGGGGTCTTTATGTTTCTGTCTCTCTTCAAAGTCATCCAGCTTGCCAGCTTCTAGGGCGTCGAGCCACGCCTTCTCCTCGTCGGATGTTTCATCCCCTGGCTTCTTGGTCTTGAATGTGTCATCGTCTCCTGCAGGTATCTCCCCGGGTGCAACTGAGCAGACATGGACACAGTTAGTACAGCAATTATCTTGGATTCCACATGGACACAGTTAGTACAGCAATTATCTTGGATTCCACATGGACACAGTTAGTACAGCAATTATCTTGGATTCCACATGGACACAGTTAGTACAGCAATTATCTTGGATTCCACATGGACACAGTTAGTACAGCAATTATCTTGGATTCCACATGGACACAGTTAGTACAGCAATTATCTTGGATTCCACATTCAGTTCACTTCACAGGTAAACTGGGAACAAAACTTAGTTATTTCAGACTTTGGGTAGGTTCTTAACTTCAGAGGTATTATGAAACAGGACTTTTCCTATACCATTTGGATTCGGAAAGTTTTACTGCTACAGACTGCACTAAATGTTTGCCTCTTAGAAGAAGAACACTGTGCAACTACTGGCTTCTAACTCCATTCAACAAAAGGTTATACTTATATGAACCATAAACATATTTAAGCAGAACTAACTTGTTTCGGACACAATAATGATGACTTCAAAACTATCAAGTATGTCAGCAGTTTTGTCTGTTAGTATTTCATACTATCTGATCACCTTCAGTTTATGTCAAACGCTGCCTTAATGGGCTGCTGAGGTAGCTCGTCACCCCAACACTTGGGTTAAAAAGTCCACATGGGCACAAAGTGTGTTGTCCCCCGCTGTGACATTGCTGGAATATTGCTACCACACTAACTCACTCACTTATGTGAGGCAAAGTTAAAGGGTTTCCATCTAAACAGTCGTCATTAACATTGATTGGTGGTCTGCAAATATACTCATGGAAACCAATAAGGGAACACCTGAAAGTACAAGTAATCCTTCATTCTTTTCCAGGTTTCTTCATAAGCTTTGTATTGCGCTGTGGGTGAAATTCTGGAAAGGAATCAAGGAACGCAAGTACTTTCATGTGTTCCTTATTTGTTTCCATGAGTATATTACTGGACCATGCTATCCAGTATTTGACGAGCACCGGTCTACACAGATACTACGACATGAATCCATTGTTGAGAGAGAAAGGAAACACAGTAGACTGTTGGCTTCAAGAATTAACATGTAAACGGATACTTACCTACCCATGGTTCATCGGTTACGTTGACATAGGTCTCCTCAGCAGGCAGCCCTGCTGTTGCTCCTGTTATCGTACTGGGCAGGGCAGGCTGCTCTATGGTGGAAGTGAAACTGAAGCAGGAATGGGTTTCCATGGTTACATGTTCCCTCTAACACAGACTGAGGCACAGAGAGGCCAGTGTTCACTGTATGACAGCATTGACACAACTGGACAAGCTGCTCAAGGCGGACATGACAATAGTATGTCTAACATGGTGAGCACCCAGCATAAGTCTTAGAGTTGGAGCTTCCCCTGGGCATTTTAGTAGGGCACAGCGCCCCGACCTTCTTTTAATACAACAATTGACATCAACACTTGCTTGTTTTAATTTTGTAGACCGTATACTGGGAAATTTTCAAAGCCTTCCCCAAGCGCTGGGGGAAAATTAGTGAATCGTCTGAACTCTGATTTCGCTTGGGTTTTTTCATCGCATTATTTTTCAATTTTATGAGTTGAATTTGCATTTTTGATGATTTGTTTTGGTAAGTCCATACCGAAAGGTATCAGAATCTGCAAAGTTGTGTTTTACGTTGCATGTGACCTTTAACAACTACTGTAAACGTACTTATTTTCGCGTGGTGCAATTTTTGCGGAATTGACAGTTTAGACTACATCGCGCGGTCAATTATTCGCGCAATCAGTAATTGCCGGAACTGCCAGCTGTCTCTTTGGCCGCCACTAATAGCAGTGAAAACAAACAGAGTGGCTTAACCTGTCAGGCGGCGTTTATTGCTTACTCACAGGAAATCCCTATCTGTGCGATATACTAGTACACAGTAATCCGTTTACTCACGGAAGAGATGAAAAACACATCAGTCTTATGTTCCGAATTCTGACGATTTGACGAATTAACTTATACTGTATATGAAGCTCTTTGTGATTTCAAACAAGCCGGGTTGTTGTGAATGAGACGATTGAGTGTTAGTGACTATTCGCTTCATGATGTACTGGTGAATAAAATCTTAATGAATAAATAAAATACTGCTGTATTATTTCTTTCCGAGTCGTTTCACGGTAATCTGTTTTGTATCAAACCATCTGTCATGTGACCAATTTCCATGGCGGCCACAACACACATTGCTGTTTTCGCTAATTCGGCAATGGGATTTGGCTCATTATTTAATTATGTTTTGGGAAATCCATTACAGCGACAGTTAAGTATGATCAGTCATCATTTTCAGATTCCCGTTGATTTCTGTCTTCAAACGTGATGTGTTATGGTAACAACTCAGGGGCGAGCGTGGCTAGACTGAATGAATGACAGGTTTATTCGCGGTGTATAAATTTTCGCGCTAAAATGTTTTGCACGAAAAGCACGAAAATAAAACCTGCTCGAAATATAATACGTTTACAGTAACTATAAGCATGTATGCATGGGTCTCTGCTGAAACTATGTTGTTGTATGTTAGAAAGCTGAGAAGTTGACCTCAACAGTGACGTCAAGTGTATTGACAGTTGGTTTGACTTCACATGTAAGACACTAATTGAATTACCTAATTTTTGTAATGCATGTTATTCTGAACCAACAATTACAATTAAATAGTCTCGACACTGCATTTCTGTTGTTTGTTTATTCAGGCTGTTCAGGGTCACTGAACGTTAAGATTAGTTGTTGACAGGCATTACAGAGTTAATGCGCATGTAAGGAAGTTATTGGTTGCCAGCAGTTGGAATACTTATCGATAGGAAATCTAACCCGAAGGTTTGAAGTTCGGAAAAATTCATGGATATAATATTTTCGAGGTTACATTTCTAACCTCGAAAACCTCGAAAATAAGATACCTTGAAAATATCCTGGTATACGGTATCATGTTGAAGTTTAGTGAAATAACTGTGCTCTTTGAGTCTTTAAGAATCATATGCATGAATAACTTGACATAGTACTTGGAAATATGCCATTGTAGGCCGCTTTTGGAATTCTGTCGCCCTGATCTGTTTGGATCCTGGGGAAACACTAAATACTGACACTGTATCTGACCATCAGATCCAAGGGTTGCCAACAACCAATTCTAAACAGAAATGTTGCTGTGACAAAGAAAGAATCTTGTAAAATACCTCTTTGTTCCCATGGTTTCATTGCCCAGTTTCAGCTTTAGTTTAATGGCAGGCTTGAAGCCCCCAGTGCTCGGTGGTGGCGAGCTGAACTCTAGCTCTTCTGGCATACTGTCACGCCGCTTCTTGTGTTTCTTTTTCCTTTTTTTATGTTTCTTGTGACTGCTGCCTGGAGATTCTGCAATTAGTGATTGTGTGAGTGACTGTTAACTATGATACAAGTGATTCAATGTTGTTCAACGCACCCAGACATAACCATGATCTAAAATTCCAGTTAACTCTCATAAAACCATTCGGATCTTCTGTATAGTGTTGTCTCCCTTCCTGCAGGAACATATGGGTGCCACTACCAGCTCTATATTAAATACTTCACATGTACGAGAATAAATAACTCAGCATTGGTCAAACATCTAAAGCCCCATGAGAGTTTTTAACCATTCTCATTAAGATCAGATCTCATTGCACGCTACCTCTACACACAAGCTAAGACGACATCCTAATAAAGGACAATTAAATAATTAAATGATATGACAAAATGTTAACTCCAACTTACATTCCAGATTACTTTGAAAAAACATGGTAACAAACTTCATGATTAAAATTTATACTACCCATCAAAAGTTTAGACTCACTTAAAGCACTCACTATATGTTATGCATATATGTGTGGTTACATCGAAGATGAATTTCTCCACGAACTTTAGGGAACCAACTGCAAACTTTATTCAGATGAACTGCACAAGTATCATGCATTAAATTGCTAAAAAGCATATCGTGCATGTGAAAAGCAGTGTTGTGGTGTAAAATTTTGTTAAAAATTCGCCAAGTTTCACTCAGTTTCATATTTTTTGTAACCCACGACAATAATCTTTTCAATGTTGTGAATTTGTTTTACAATACATCAGTTCATGTGTAAACAGTACCTTTAAACAGTATGGAAAATTTTGCAAAATCTAGTTTAGAAGAGTTGACTTAAGTAAGTAGCTACATTTACACTAGTTGAGTCGAAACTTTTGATGGGGAGTATATAATTGAACAAAACACAATCCTCCGGCCCATTTCCCTACAATGTCATTTGTTATAATGTGCTTACCAAACTCTGTATACAAACGCATGGTTATCTTTATAAGTTACTTGATGTCATGGTTTTGTACCTAAAAAAGGATGAATAAGAAAAAAACCCAAAAAACACACAATCCTTGAATATTTGAAAGATGGCTGAGATTTTATGGCAGTACTTCCCACTGGTCATTTGTAAGGTTTAGCCAACTCAGTTGAGAGATTTCAGTCGCACATGCTGTAACTATTGCTTGTTTACAGACACACCTTCTCATTTATAACTTTACTGATTAGCAATTAGCAAGTGAATACATAGCCACTAAAATAAGATACCGTCCTGAGATCAGTCTCTATATTTTAGATATTTATATGTTGATTGATGCTTGAGACAGACAATCACGGGATGTTGGATGGAAGCTCAAACAAGCCCATGGTCCGTTCCCTCAAATTAACCAATGTCATGAATGTCCCAGCCGCTGTTCAAGATGGGGGAAGTTCCAATTTGACCACTGACTCGAAGGAAACAATCAATCACCACAAACTGAATGTCTTCGAGATCCGATTGGTCGCTGTTGTAATATGTTGGGTTAAAAACGTGCGTGCCGCACGAGCTCTCATTCGCACGTGCCTCATGATCTTCAGGACAATTACGCTTTACTGTAACTGAACACACAATTACCTGATATACTCTCATCTTCGTTACTGCCAAAATGTTCTTTCCTTTTCCCCATTTTAATATCGGCAGCAAAGTAAATTATTTATACTTATACAAGACTACCTTACAATAACAAAAACAAACAGTTGCCTCCCTTGCCTTGTAGTATTTGGCGAAAGACATTTTTCAGCAACAGGTGGTTGTCAGTGCCAGAACCCTTAGTCGAACAACACGCTTTTCGCGCTAAACGAGATGGGGTGTACGTATAGATGAAACTTAAATTACTATCCGTGGCTATACATTTTGAGAAACACGAAAGTGGTAAAGACATTTGAATAATGAGGCAAAGAAATAGCCTTATAAATATGAAAAATGACAAAGACGTGGAAACAAAACATATTAGTTTTTTAATACATTGTTTTGTTCTTTAACGCCGCACTGTGCAATATCGCAGGTATATTGCGGTCATATGAACATAATCGAGCCTGGACCAGACAATCCAGTGATCAACAACATGAGCATCAATCAACTCAGTTAGGATAAGATGACATGTGTCAACCAAGTCAGCGAGCCTGACCACCCGACCCGATCTCGTTAGGCGCCTCTTACATTTGTTGCTGAAAATCAAATCTAACCAGGATTTTCACCGGGGGCAAATATATGAAACCTTTTCAAAGTACAAAATATATATTAAACCAATAAGAAAATTATTAACCGCCCAGTCATAATATAAAGTCTAGAAAATAATGTTCTCCCGTCTGGGGATATTGGCACAATCCAGCAGAGACATACAGCTGAAACATGGAGCAGCCCCCTGGGATACCCTAACGTACAATCGCGGATCAATTCAACATCGAAACATTTCGATTACAGTATTACCAAAGAGATGTCTCAAAATACACGTCATGGATATTTCGTAATCGTTCGAAATATTTGGATGTTTTACGGTATGAAAGTGACTTGAAAGTGCAACTCCTCCGTGGCCGGCCGACCAGTAGACGGCCGGGAGAAGTTCAACCAGTAGACGGCCGGGAGAAGTTCAACCAGTAGACGGCCGGGAGAAGTTCAACCAGTAGACGGCCGGGAGAAGTTCAACCAGTAGACGGCCGGGAGAAGTTCAACCAGTAGACCGCCGGGAGAAGTTCAACCAGTAGACGGCCGGGAGAAGTTCAACCAGTAGACGACCGGGAGAAGTTCAACCAGTAGACGGCCGGGAGAATTTCAACCAGTAGACTGCCGGGAGAAGTTCAACCAGTCGACGGCTGGGAGAAGTTCAACCTGTAGAAGGCTGGGAGAAGTTCAACCAGTAGACGACCGGGAGAAGTTCAACCAGTAGACGACCGGGAGAAGTTCAACCAGTAGACGGCCGGGAGAAGTTCAACCAGTAGACGGCTGGGAGAAGTTCAACCAGGAGAAGTTCAACCAGTGGACTGCCGGGAGAAGTTCAACCAGTAGACGGCCGGGAGAAGTTCAACCAGTAGACGACCGGGAGAAGTTCAACCAGTGGACTGCTGGGAGAAGTTCAACCAGTGGACTGCTGGGAGAAGTTCAACCAGTAGACGGCTGGGAGAAGTTCAACCAGTAGACGGCTGGGAGAAGTTCAACCAGTGGACTGCCGGAAGAAGTTCAACCAGTAGACGGCCGGGAGAAGTTCAACCAGCCATGGCTGGGCGTTACATATACTTGGTCACTGACTGGCGGCCATGTACAACCAGGGAGAATAGAGGACTTGGTCACTGACTGGCGGCCATGTACAACCAGGGAGAATAGAGGACTTGGTCACTGACTGGCGGCCATGTACAACCGGGGAGAATAGAGGACTTGGTCACTGACTGGCGGCCATGTACAACCAGGGAGAATAGAGGACTTGGTCACTGACTGGCGGCCATGTACAACCAGGGAGAATAGAGGACTTGGTCACTGACTGGCGGCCATGTACAACCAGGGAGAATAGAGGACTTGGTCACTGACTGGCGGCCATGTACAACCAGGGAGAATAGAGGACTTGGTCACTGACTGGCGGCCATGTACAACCAGGGAGAATAGAGGACTTGGTCACTGACTGGCGGCCATGTACAACCAGGGAGAATAGAGGACTTGGTCACTGACTGGCGGCCATAGTTGGTCACACTGGCGGCCATGTACAACCAAGGAGAATAGAGGACTTGGTCACTGGCTGGCGGCCATGTACAACCGGGGAGAATAGAGGACTTGGTCACTGACTGGCGGCCATGTACAACCAAGGAGAATAGAGGACGCTGTAGATCCCTGGTACAACAGTCGCAGTGTAGGGCGTTATGAAGCGTTCGCTCGTCACTCCTAAGTCCGGGTTCGATTCCCACACATCGGTGCGGTGGGTAACTCCCTCAGTTGGATCAATGCTACTCTTCCCACACATGGGTACGGTGTGTAACTACCTCAGTTGGATCAATGTTACTCTTCCCACACATGGGTGCGGTGTGTAACTCCCTCCACATGGGTTACTCTTCCCACACATGGGTGCGGTGTGTAACGATCAATGTTACTCTTCCCACACATGGGTGCGGTGTGTAACTCCCTCAGTTGGATCAATGTTACTCTTCCCACACATGGGTGCGGTGTGTAACTCCCTCAGTTGGATCAATGTTACTGTTCCCCTCAGTTGGATCAATGTTACTCTTCCCACACATGGGTGCGGTGTGTAACTCCCTCAGTTGGATCAATGTTACTCTTCCCACACATGGGTGCGGTGTGTAACTCCCTCAGTTGGATCAATGTTACTCTTCCCACACATGGGTGCGGTGTTTGGATCAATGTTACTCTTCCCACATGGGTGCGGTGTGTAACTCCCTCAGTTGGATCAATGTTACTCTTCCCACACATGGGTGCGGTGTGTAACTCCCTCAGTTGGATCAATGTTACTCCCTCAGTTGGATCTTCCCCCACACATGGGTGCGGTGTGTAACTCCCTCAGTTGGATCAATGTTACTCTTCCCACACATGGGTGCGGTGTGTAACTCCCTCAGTTGGATCAATGTTACTCTTCCCACACATGGGTGCGGTGTGTAACTCCCTCAGTTGGATCAATGTTACTCTTCCCACACATGGGTGCGGTGTGTAACTCCCTCAGTTGGATCAATGTTACTCTTCCCACACATGGGTGCGGTGTGTAACTCCCTCAGTTAGATCAATGTTACTCTTCCCACTGACCTGCTTATTTTAGTCTATGAAGGAGCTTTAACTAACTAAAACGTCATCGCCGCATGACGTCACTCTTTGTTAACATGAATAGACAGGTGTAAACAAACTATGCCAGTGCGCGTGATACCGAAATTGGACGCATCATGCAAAATGAAGTTGGATCGATTCATAGAGATTTGATTCCTTCTTCAGATTTTGGCAGTGCCTCAATGTATGCTCGTGACACGCCTATCAAGATCATTTTCAGTGCAATATTTGTAAATCATTATTAAAAGACGTTGATAAATCCCGAATCCCTGATTTGTCCGGTTATGTGTTATGCAACATCACAAACAAATACTTCACAAAATCTGTACACTGCTTGAATTGTACACGTCTTTGTTGTCAATATGAATCGGGGGCTTTCATATTCGTTTAGAGATTGCTGTAAACCTTCAAATCTGCTTAAGGCGAGTTCTACTTCTTCGTGGAGTAGTATTAGTCGAACAACGTATATTATATACGTTTGTACTAAATGAATATAATTAAAGTTTATCCAACTTTATCACCGTGTAAAATATAATCTAACCTTGTATTAACGTTTTAGATTTTTTCTGTAAGTTATAATAATTCAACCTGGCGATTTGTAGAAGATACATTACAGCCATAAAAAAATGTGACCCAAACTTAGAAACTGATAATTAACTGTATCAAGTAAAATATATATGGCAAGACTTCAGGTGTATTTGGGCTGGTTAAAATCAAACATGACACAGCAAGACAAAAAACATTAATTCTTTCATTCAATACCACAGATAAGGAATGAATGTTGTTTGTTGTAGTATGTTGAGTGGGAAGTAGTATGTTTGACATAATTTCCCCTGGGCTTGGTTGACATGGGAAATCAGTGTGGGTGACAAGACGGGTTGTTGTTATCTCCCGAAATCGTCAAAATGGATGACATTACTTCGTCGAACGAAATCTGGCCAGTTAAACATACTGGATTATCATATGGACTTCTAGTAATAACCTGCTCAGCAGTACTTTTTTATTTGGTTGGCAAAGTTGCGGCCTCTTGTATTTGTGAATCCGCGAAACATGCACCCTGGAGATGGAAAAATACGATAGTATCATTGACGCACGCCTGCGTAAGTGGTAGCTGGTCAGTGATGTGGTGAGTACTAATTCATCTTTTTAAGTGTAAATGCTTTGAGTAATCTCACATGATGTATACGTTAAATCACTCTAGTCTTGGTTGCGTTCAAACATTTACTGTTCTTATCTTTCAGCTTTTACGAGACGCCGAAACTTGCCGAAGACATGATCACTACTTATTCTTCCTTTTCCTACACCCTGATTTCATTTTCAGTCGGTAAGTTCTAACAATTCTGATTATGAAATGATGATTTTACTGTTTAACCAGTGACCTAGATCTTGCTTATGCAACTAACATCTCAGGTGACCTCATCGTAACTAGGCCGGGTCAAACACGTGACAACAACAATATTGTCAATCAGGGCTATCGGTGGAGTCGTTCGTCTTTCAGTCTTTTGTAATGGACACACATAGCAGCGGGCTGATAATTTGTTAACATTTGATATTGGAAGGAAGTTATCTTGACGAATTAAGCTGACTAAGGTTTTATAGGCTAACATTCAGATAATCCAGGGACAATTTGGGTACATATATGGTCTCTGGATAAACACTTTGGAAACATGTCCGCCCGTAACGCCCGTTTTATTATCATTCTGTGGCTAAGATTCATAATCACAGTAAGAATAGATGTTTTTTTTCATAGAAAGCCTACCCAAACCCTAACACAATGCTAAATCTAAAACCTAAACACTAACCCCTTGAAATAATAATAATAATAATTAGAATACTTTTCAACCGGGTTACGGGCGGAACTAATTAATCTCACAAAGTGCACCTGATAAAGTGAAGTACTCCATTTTTTCCTGTGGGTACTCGGATGATATCCCAGAATTCTCGACCAGTTCGTGATCTCAGCTGCATGAAGGGCCGTTGATGGTATGAGCCAGGTTGACTGAGTATGCTGAGCTATCAATGACCCCAGCAGGGCTTACACAATGGCTGCCTCCTCTAGTTGGGGACAGGCCATTACTGACAATAGAACCTGTCTCAGCGTTGTCATCAATACTACAGCAAACTCTACTATGACTTCAGTAAATACTGGATTGTGATTGGTTAATCAAAGTCATTCGGAGTGAGTGAGTTTAGTTTTTCGCCACACTCAGCAATATTCCAGCTATATGACGGCGGTCTGTAAATAATCGAATCCATTGATCAACAGCATGAGCATCGATCTGCGCAATTGGGAACTGATGACTTATGTCAACCAAGTCCTCGAGCCCGGACCAACCGATCCCGTAAGTCGCCACTTACGACGAACATGGGTTACTGAAGGCACATTCTAACCCGGACCTTCACGGGTAAAGTCATTCAGAGGTATATAATCACACTATATACGTCTGATTTTCCAGCACAGCATTTAAAAAAAAAATCTTGATAACGCAGTTATGATAAAATGGAGATAAATACTGTGTTGGCAAATGCTGCGCGTTAGGGTTACATCAAATTTAGGGCTATTATAATCTCGTTGTATAGATGCCTCTGATTTTCCAGCACAGTATGTTTATGTCCTAAGTCTGCATCACCAGAGTAATGCCCATCATTACATTTAGAGAAGGAAAATTTGTTTAAACAGTTTTGAGGTGTGAAAGTTGTCATTACATAGGCCACAATGTAGTCAGTCACACACACACACACACACACACACACACACATAAACTTCAACACTGGTATATGTGTAACATCTCACATCATCTCACTGTTGTCATGATATTGTAGACACAGTACATGGGACTGAACAACCACATTTATTGAATAGCATTATAGTCCGTCAACTTAACTTTTGGCACCCTGTTTTTCACAATTTATATAGGACTCCTGAATATTTTGTTACCTGAGGGTGTCTGGGTGATGTACCCTTCTCCCTAGGCAATCTGTCTATCCACTCTGGTTCTGGGGATGATGTAGCTAAGATGGATAGTCAAAGATAAGTTAGGTATGTTGTTCAAGTCCATTTATTTTTGAATGAATTCTTTCACAAAGGTCCTCAGATATTGCCTAGCATTCCTGGTCTACACACAACACAGATTCACAAACTTCATGGAAGAACTTGTTGGATTCTTGTACAACTCCTAAAGTTACTAGTTCATCTGAGCCATTCTCTTAATATACAGAGAGAACCTCTCAAGTCAACGGTGGGGCCCAGAATCACCCTCTCTCTGTCAACTAGCAAAATGTTCTCATAACAATTTTGGCTCCTCCCCCTGAAATACTGTCCTACACCATATAAAAATGACTCATAACCCATCTGACTAATAAGTTACTTTCATTAGTCCCTTTTCAACTGACTCATATCCCAGCTGCACCACTAACTACAATCATTTCCTCTCTTCCAAGACTTATTCGATACCATCAATTTCTTCCATCATAAATGTACTTTATTAGTGAGCTTAAATCATTCGTGAAGCATTCAACCGAATAAAACTTCCGACTGGCAGACGCCAGAAGATGCTTAATCGAATCATTACGTCTGTCCCTTTTCTGATTCTTAGTATCTTAATTACCAGTAATTACCTAAATGGTATATGAGTCACCCGATCCACATGTTCCACTCATCTCCCTTATTAGATTTGTTGTATGTAAGGGAAAGGAATCGATATGAATTTGGTTACTCTGGTCAATGTACTTACCAAGCACAATGGCACTTCTTAACTGAACTTCAAATTTTCCTTAAATATTTACCAGATATATTTAAAGTTTTCAATCCTAAAAATCCTGGTTATAATTTTCAAACACTACTCTGTTCATGTGGTAATTGTATACCGTGACCTAACAAGGTATCGATTTGAGTAATTTTAAAACGATTATTAAAGATTTTGCCTTTAAACCTGTCATATAATAATTGTAAAACTGTGGAAAGTTTTACGAGGGGTTAACGCACCTGATGGAAAAGCCAACAACACTGTAAAATGTGTGTCAGCGTGATATGTACATGCACAGGTATTTACATTAGCACGCTTAACTGATGTCAAAGATCATCAACACACAGGTTGTAGGGAAAACGATGTTGCAGAAAGATGACCGGCAAATCATCAAAAGAGTTACAACTTTTTCAAGCTCGAGGCAAAGCGAAAAAGAACTCTTTTTTTTCAATTGAATGTTTCTCCAAAAGACATTTAATGCCACAGAGATCTGCTAAAGAATATTGCAAAGAGTTATCTCCCATGACACTATTTCAGAGCCTGATGATGACATGGCAGTTAAATTGGGGACCGTCTTAACAAATGCAAAGAAAACAAAGCTTGATGAATTTGATAGAAGGGTTGTGAGGGACGTCATGTGTCGGTTACATCGATCCAGTGAGTCCATATCGTCAAGCAAACTGAAGAAAATATTGTTCAAAAGAAGACCATGACATCAATGTATCAAAGCATACCATATGCAAGCTGTTGCTCAAATTTGGATATAGATACAAGAGATCAAGCAACCAGTCTTTAAAGACTTAATGAATCTACTTGTTTAAAATGGATTTATGATGATTAAACAGTCCCTGTAGATTTGCTAGCAGGCGTAACAATGTAAACAAGATGCACGCATGTCACACCATGTTGTTGGTTGTTCCATCGTATCATTTTACTCCCTTGTATAACTACTTCTATTTTTCATATTTTTATAAGATGGCTTCTTAAGAAGAAGCTTTAATAATTGACAAAAAATTATGAAGTTTAAACCTTGGATAGGTCATAAGATATAAAGAGCATATGCACAAAAACATTTTGAAGGCATTGTTGGTTAAAAGGTAAATTGTGAAAAACGGTGCCAAAAGTTCATTTGACGGACTATAGTTGATGACGGAATTGTTGTCGATTTTCTTTCATGTTTTTGAAAACCTTGTGAAATGCAGTGAAAATGTCATTGATCCATACAAATGGTGTTGAAGATATGGTTTGCCATTGCCTCACTCATGGAAAACTGTTTGTTATATATGCATTTGCTGTTAGCAGTCAGTTAGCAGTAACTGGGGAAGGTGATCAAATATTAATTTCGCAATTTGTGAAAATTTTAATTTATACAAGAAATTTATTGATGGTAGTTGACCAACTCTTGCATATTTTGCCTTGATTTGTGCAATGCTGTGTATGTTTCTGGCTTCAGCTTGACACAATTACCTATGTGGTTATTATTTCATTTAGCCATTGGATCACTTTATTGGGATGTATATGCGTTAGGATTCTGCTTATGAATCATCATGTATGTTCAACTAAACAAACTGCGAGTTAGGTCACACTCTTACTTGTCATCTAGGTTTTGTCACTAATTAAACTGAAAGTTGCTAATTCTTAAGACAAGGAACTTGAGTGTTTTCTTTCATCAAAGAAAATATATACTGATAAATTATAGAAAATGATTTCATTATGAAGAAAATAATAGACTTCCCATCATTCAGTGCGAAGAGCCTATACAATGGCTGTTGCAGGCTAAGCATTCAGCTTTCAGATGTTTTTTTTAGATACATCAAATACAAAAAGTTTGTACGTTTTGAAAGCTGATGTTTTTATGCATACCATATATAATTCAAATGACACGTTAATCCTACTTGGTAAATACTTATTTCAAGTTACATTTGGGATGTCATTATGCTGTTCCCCTGTTGGGATGTCATTATGCTGTTCCCCTGTTGGGATGTCATTATGCTGTTCCCCTCTTGGATGGGTTAGACACAAGCATTCCGAGTATAAAGAGAAATTTGCAGACACAATTGATTCTTGGTATTGGGTAAGAGTGTTTTGAAACAGTGTTCACACGTTTCATGTGAGTTGCTCCATCTGATTTGAGCTGGAGAGTACAAGGGGAAGTCCAGTCACTTTGACTGGGCAGGATAATACAAGGGGAACTCAAGTCACTTTGACTGGGCAGGAAAATACAAGGGGAACTCCAGTCACTTTGACTTGGGCAGGAGAATACAAGGGAAACTCCAGTCACTTTGACTTGGCAGGAGAATACAAGAGGAACTCCAGTCACTTTGACTTGGGCAGGAGAGTACAAGGGGAACTCCAGTCACTTTGACTTGGGCAGGAGAGTACAAGGGGAACTCCAGTCACTTTGACATGGGCAGGAGAGTACAAAGGGAACTCCAGTCACTTTGACTGGGCAGGAGAATACAAGAGGAACTGCAGTCACTTTGACGTGTGCAGGAGAGTACAAGGCGAGCTCCAGTCACTTTGACATGGGTAGGAGAATACAAGGGGAACTCCAGTCACTTTGACTTGGGCAGGAGAA